TTGGTTGGCCTTGCCACTGTTTTAAGTGCTCTATAAATAAAATGGTATAGTTTGGTGATGGTGGGGAGGCTGACTCCAACAGTCTTCTGTGCAGCCACTCTCTGCAAAGCTTTTCTTTCTGCAGTTGTGCAGCTTCCATGCCACACGTTGATGCTGGAGCACAGGATACTCTCCACTGCACACCTGTAGAAGGAGGTGAGGACTGAGCTTCCCAGACCAGCTCGTCTCAGCCACCTGAGGAAGTAGAGTTTCTGATGAGCTTTCTTGATCAGGCTGGTAGTGTTGTTGCTCCAGCTGAGGTTGTCATTCATGTGTATACCCAAGTACTTGTAGCTGGAGACCACTTCCACTGCAGATCCTCTTATGTTCAGGGGGTGTAGGTGTGTTTGTTCCTTCTGAAGTCCACAATCATCTCTTTTGTCTTCTTCACAGTGATGTGAAGGTTATTCTCTTTGCACCAGCTCTCCAGGTGTTTGACCTCCTGCCTGTAGCTGGACTCATCATTGTTTGTGATACATCCCACCACCGGTGTATCATCTGCAAACTTTACAATACGACAGCCTGGATGGGTATCTGCACAATCATATGTGAGCAGAGTAAACAGGAGGGGGCTCAACACACATCCCTGAGGAGAGCCAGTGCTGAGGGTTATGGTGGAGGAGGAGAAGTTGTGGATCCTCACTAACTGTGGTCTGTTTAAGAAGTCTAGTACACAGTTGCAAATGGATGGGCTAAGTCCTAGTGTGAATAGTTTGTCCATCAGGGTTTGGGGGATCATGGTGTTGAAAGCTTGATGTAAAGTCCACAAAGAACATAAGAACGTAAGAGTCTTTCTGCTCCAGGTGGTTGAGCGCAGTGTGGACCACAGAGGAGATGGCATCCTCTATTGATCGGTTCTCACGATATGCATACTGATAAGGGGCCTTGTTGATATTGATGGTTGTTTTGATGTGGGTCATGACCAGTTTTTCGAAGCATTTAGCGACTATCAGGATGAGAGCTAGTGGCCGATAGTCATTCAGACCAGTCACTGTAGGGACTGAGTTCTAGAACTGTGCCGCTCAAGGTGGCTGCATGTTGGAGCAGCTCTGTTACTTTCATTCTGAGATTTTGCTTTTGGAAACTTTAATTCCTCTTTTTCTGGATGTAAATCACATTTTTTGGATGATTGTTTCCTCTGGTATCGGATGATGTGCAGCTGGAAGGATTTTTACAGAAACTTTTTTAGTTTTGAACATTTATAAATTATATCTCAACTACAGCCTCAAATCTCAAATGAGTTGAAAAGGATGTTCTGTGGATGCATTTTCATCTTCCTGCCAGCTATGATCAAGTGCCTGACCACTGAGATCATGGAACTAGCAGGAAGCACGGCTCATGACAGTGGAAGGACAGGATTGTCCCTCAGTACCTACAGTTGGCTGTCCGCAGCGACGAGGAGCTCGGCAGACTGCTGGGAGGAGTGGTCATCGCTCTGGGAGGAGTTCTGCCCGGCATTTGGGCGGTCCTACAGCCCGGGGGATCCTAGAGGCCAGCTGAGTCTGGATGGACAGATTGGATGGCATCTGCAGCCCGTTTATTAGGATCCACTGTGGAATGGACATTTACAAGAGATCCTTCCTGTCTACAGACATCAGCATCTATAATATCTCTTAATGAAATGAGGATAATGAGTTATAACAAATAATAATTTCCCTTTGAGATTAATAAAGTATTTTTGAATAGAATTGAATTGAATTGTAGAGCTTTTGGGACTGGGATGATGGTTGCAGTCTTCAGACAGGTGGGAACTGTCTCCAGGGTAAGTGAGGTGTTAAAGATATCTGCCAGCACCTTGCAGAGCTGATCGGCACATTATTTCAACACTTTTCCGAGGATGTTGTCTGGGCTAGTTGCCTTGTGCCGATTAATCCTCCTGAAAGTACTCCTTACTTCTGTTGAGGTCACACTGAGATGCTCTTCATCTGGTGGTGAGGTGAGTCTGGTGCTGGGTGGTCTGTTCGGGTCTTCAAAGCGTGCATAGAACTTGTTGAGGGCATCAGGCAGAGATGGGTCTTTGGGGCATTGTTCGCTCCTTCCTTTATAATCTGTTATGCACTTAATGCCCCTCCACATGCTCCGAGGGTCTTGTGAGGTGAATTGACCCTCGATCCTCTGTGCATATGTGGCTTTGGCCTTCTTAATACCAGCAACCAGCTTTTTCCTTGTCCTACTCAGCTCCTCTGAGTTTCCAGACCTGAAGGCAGTGTCCCTGGCATCCAGCAGGGTGCGCACCTCTACATTCAGCCAAGGTTTTCTGTTTGGACAGCTTTTAACATATCTGATAGTGGAGACGGTGTCAGTACATGTACTAATGTAACCCAGAACTGAGGATGCGTATTGGTCCAGATCAAGCGATCCTCCATTTTCAGCAGCTTCTCTGAAAACCTGCTAGTCTGTTTGATCAAAACAGTCTCTCAGTATGGGGCCACTGTCCTGGATCCAACATTTAACTTTGTTTTGTACCGGTCTGGAGCGTCTCAGCTGGGGGAGGTAAGCAGCTATTATTAAGATTGAGATGTTGTCTGACAGTCCTAGGTGGGGGCGGGGTTCGGCTTTGTGTGCATTTTTTACGTTCATGTAAACACGGTCCAGCGTGTTCTTTCCACATGTTGGTATGCCCACATGCTGTTAAAAGCTTGGGAGACAGTCCTTTAAATTCACGTGATTAAAGTCTCCGGCTACCACGTAAAGAGCCTCAGGGTGTTTGTTCTGCAGAGAAATGATTATATCATGCAGCTCCTGCGGTGTTTCATTAGCATTAGCTTCTGGAGAAATGTAAATAACTGTGATAAAAGTCACTGTGAACTCGGGAGGTAGATAATGAGGCCGACATTTCACTGTTATTTGACAGTGACTTGAATTTGATCTGTCAATATGGCTCTTTTGAAAAAAAAATAAAAAAATAGTGAGGATCACTACATTATAGGGCCAGGCATGAGAATGAAGTCCCAGATACATCCAAGGTAAATACAGATATGCAGCCATTCTATAACTTACTCACAGTTGCTTTATTGATAATTAATTCCAATTAATTTATTTTTTATCTCATTTCTAACCATCAAGCTTCCAGGAAGCAGATGCTGGATGAGGCTCTGCAGAATTTCATCCTGAAGGACTGCCAACCAAACTTATTTTTTTTAGAATAAAAATTTGTTTAAAAAAAACAAGTATCCTCATTCACAACACGTTCACTTATATTTTCACGTTATGATACATGTTTACATTATTTATTGACTGTATCTAACACTATCAAATATATTTTAAATTTAAATGAAAATATAAAATGCAATATAAAATACAATGATTTAAATCATATTATTGTATATAGTAGGTCATCAAATCAGTGTCAGTTGAGTCTGTCAAATAAGTTGCCGGTAGGGATTTTTAAGTTCCAGCATGTGTCAGTATTCAGTGACACAGTATCGACAAAGTAATACAGTTTGGTAATGTGTTGAAACGCCTCATCGAACCATCACTAATGCACGCTGAAGAATCATCCAAGCCTGCCTATGTCAGAAGTCATGGTTTTGGAGCAGAGCCCAGTGGTTCAGGCAGGACTCAGAGAGTAAAATAAGAAGCACTTTAGTGAATACAAATAATAAGCTGTCATGGCAGCAAAACACTTACCTGGCTGGAGGGACCATGAGGGAAACACCAGAGACTAAAGGAGGGAAACCAGACGATGCCCAGACAACGAGTAGCACACACAGACTTATGTACACAGAGTAACAAGACACAACCACACACACCTGGACAGGACATGCAGGTGAAACTGATCAGGAGATACATCACTAGGAGAAAACACCAGGGAGTGCAGGTGCAGGGTGACCACAAGAGGGCATCATCCTGACAGCCTAGAGTCGGGTTGACTTAACTTGGCCAGACCAAAAATATGGCATCAATGGCAGCTGGACCAGACTGTTGAAATTTGGTGGTCTATCTGGTTCAGTAAAATAAAAAACAAAACACAAACTGGTATTGTGCACGGTTAACATTCAGCTCGCCCTATTCTTTCCCTTTGGGCAGTTCCACTTCAAATGTGGGTCCTCTACCAGAGGTCTGGGAGTTTGAGGGTTCTGTTCAGTATCTTAGCTGTTCTTAGGACTGAGTCCTTCTAGACAGAGATCTCTGAGGTTCTTCCTGGGTCAGTTGCAGCCATTCCTCCAGTTTGGGGGTCTTGGCACTGACTGCTCCAATGACTACTAGAATTACTGATGCTTTGACTCTCCACAACTTCTCTATTTCATCTTTCAGCCCTGATAATTCTGAACTTCTCCTGCTCCTTCCTCATGATGTTACAGTCTCTTGGGATTGCTACATCTATCACCACTGCCTTCTCTTGCTTGTTGACCACACAATGTCTAGTTGGTTTGGCATCACCTGTTTGTCTGTCTGGATCTGGAAGTCCCACAGTATCTTAGGGGTCAAAGTTGAAAGCTTGATCCAAACCTTTTTCACTTGGTACATTAATTCAAGTCAGATGCATGACATATTTTCTTGCTAGCAGGTTCCTCAACAAGAGTTTAATCTGTTTTATTTGATTTTCTCTAAGGCCCTTTCCACATCAGAATCAAAGATTACTGAACAAAAACAAACTTTTTTTCTTCAAAAAATCTTAAATGTTAGCCAGCTGGCATGAGAAATCTCCACTAAATGAAAATTTTATGAGTTTATTAGGCAAAATGAAAAGTGATTTAAAAAAATTGCATTTAAGATATAATCTTAAAAGGCCAGATAAAAGGTTAACAAAGGCCAGATTTGTCCTGCGGGCTTTGAGTTTTACACGTACGCTAAGCACTAAGTGAATGTAGAAGACAAGATCATATATAATGTGATTTTCAAGGTTTGTCCAAAACAGTTTTTTGTTCACACAAGTTATTTTTACTTTAAAATTCTTTATTAATAAAATGCTGAAAGCACAGGAGCTGATTAATGTGTGTTTTGCTGTTTGTGTTCAGGGTCGATATGGCTGCTGCAGGTTCCTTAGAGATGGACACAAAACTCCTAAAGAGGTAAAAACATAAAACGTGCAGTGCCACTTTGTTTCAGTGTGTCCTTTTATTTATTATTTATTTATTTATCAATTTGAAATGGAAAGGCTCTTTATTCTTGCAAATTGTGTCACCTTTTCATGCTTTTACTATCAAATTAGTACAAACGAGTTCTTTTTTCTTTGTGTTTCCATAGACTGTTCTTTGTGTTGCATCTTGAATTTTTATGGGCTGTTTGGGGGGAAATGAGCTCACTAAAAGGTTTAAACTCTAGTAAACTGAGGCAGCAATAAAAAGCAAGATGCTGACTGAATACTGAAAGTTTCAGTCTCAGAGTGTTGAGTGTCAGGAAATCAGCTTTTACGTAAATAAGCTAAAGCGAAGTCTGAAATATAATCATGGTTAAAAGCTCCTGTCCTGTCCAGGTGTGTGTGGTTGTGTCTTGTTACTCCGTGTATATAAGTCTGTGTTTGTGTGCTACTCGTTGTCTGGGCATCGTCTGGTTTCCTTCCTTTAGTCTCTGGTGTTTCCCTTGTGGTCCCTCCAGCCAGGTAAGTGTTTTGCTGCCATGACAGCTTATTATTTGTATTCATTAAAGTGCTTCTTATTTTACTCTCTGAGTCCTGCCTGAGGTCATCCATCCCCCAGTCCACAACTGATCCCTCTGTCTTTGTCTCTTGCTCAGCTGTCTTCAAACAGTTTGAACCCATTTCACTCCCATTTCTAAAAAAAAGTTGTTGGTCAGATGAAACCCTCTGGTTCCCCCGCTGACCCCAATCCTGCGTCGTTTTTCAAACAAGTTCTACCCACGATTGGACCCTCTGTTCTTACTATTGTAAATAGTAGTATTGTGACAAGTGTGGTTCCCGATGTTTTCAAACATGTAGTAGTTCATCCGTTAATTAAGAAACCTGGACTTGACCCGTCGAATTGCTGAAATTTCAGACCAATCTCAAAACTTCCCTTCCTGTCCAAAATCCTGGAGAAAATAGTTTTCATTCAATTAAACAAGTTTTTGAATGAGAACAGAATCTTTGAGATTTTTCAATCTGGTTTTAAGCAACTCCACAGCACTGAAACAGCATTAGTAAGGGTTTGTAACGATATTATGATATCAAACGATTCTGGTCAATTTGTGGTACTTGTGCTCCTGGACCTTACTGCTGCTTTTGATACTGTTGACCACAGTATCCTTATATCACGGCTGGAACAGTGGGTTGGGATCACAGGTGCTGCAGTAGAATGGTTCCGCTCATACCTAAGTGGCAGGAGTTTCTGTGTCAAGGTTGGTAATAATGTATTTGCCTCATTACCTCTTTCTTGCGGGGTCCCACAGGGTTCGATTCTTGGACCGCTTCTGTTCTCACTTTATTTGCTCCCACTGGGGTCCATCCTGAGGAAACATGGTCTTTCATTCCATTGCTATGCTAATGACTGCCAGATCTACCTGCCTGTGAAACCAGCAAGTGTTTGCTCCATTTACCCTCTGTTAAAATGTCTGGACGACATTAAGGCCTGGATGGCTTCAAATTTCTTAAGTTTTAACAATGAGAAGACTGAAGTCATTGTCTTTAGCCCTAGCTCAACTGCCACCACTGATCCTGTCAACCTGGACTCTCTTCAGCCATATCTTAAGCAGTCTGGTAAAAATCTCGGGATGTTTTAGACTCTGACTTCAAGTTTGACAAACAAATCAACTCTGTTCTGCAGAAAAGCTTCTTCCAACTCAGACAGGTAGCTAAGCTCAAGCCAGTATTGTCCAGACCTGACCTTGAGAAACTAGTCCACGCCTTTGTCACGACCCGATTGGACTTTTGCAATGCACTCTATGCTGAATCAGCCAGGCCTCCATCTCACGTCTTCAGCTCGTCCAGAATGCTGCTGCTCGGCTTTTAACCGGAACTCGTAGGTCTGAACATATTACTCCAGTTCTGTCCTCCCTTCACTGGCTCCCTGTTCGTACTAGGATAGTCTTTAAAATTCTTCTGTTGACCTTCGAGTGCTTAAATGGCCTCGCACCCCTTTACCTCTCTGAGCTTCTGGAACCTTACGTTCCCTCTCGGGCCCTGAGATCATCTGATCAGCTGCTTTTGGCTGTTCCAAAAACAAGACTGAAGCTCAGAAGAGATCGGGCTTTTTCAATCATGGGCCCCAAACTCTGGAACAACCTGCCCCCCCAACATCAGACAGGCCACCTCCCTTCCTCACTCCAAATCCCTGCTAAAAACACATCTGTTCTCACAGGCATTTCACACAGTGTAAATTGATCTAGTGTTTTTTTAATCTGTGACCCTATGTTTTAAATGCTTTTTATTAATTCTTCAGTTATTATTATTAGTGTATTGTTTATATAATTTTTCTCTTTAATTTTACTCTCATTGATTGTTGTTGTTTTGTTGTTGTTGTTGTTAAGCACTTTGATAACAGGTTCTGTTTTAAATGTGCTCTATAAATAAAGTTGACTTGACTTGACTTAATAGGAAACTGGTTTCTTCTTAAGAAAAAAAAAATCCAAAGCTGTTTACTACTTAATCTGCCCATAAATAAATTATTTCAGATGTGTGTTAAAGCAGCTCTCAATTTTCTAAAATTTGCTCAAATGATCCAAAACTCTCTTTGTCCTCTTGTTAAAGCAGCATGGTGGTGCAACTGGTAGAGCTGCTGCCTCTCAGTGAGCAGGTCCTTGGTTGAAACCCCGGTCCAGGGGCCTTTCTGGGTGGAATTTGCATGTTCTCTCCGTGCATGCGTGGGTATTCTCCGGGTACTCCGGTTTCCTCCCACAGACCAAAAACATGCATGTTAGGCTGATTGGTAACTCTAAATTGTCCCTAGGTGTGAGTGAGAGTGTGAATGGTTGCTTGTTTCTATGTGGCCCTGTGATGGACTTGCGACCCGTCCAGGGTGTACCACGCCCTTCGCACAGTGATTGCTGGACATGGGCACCGGCGATCCCTGTGACCCAAAAATGAAATAAGCAGGTAAAGATAATGGATGGATGGATGGATGGATGGATGTATCTAAACTCCTAAGCATTACCGTATTTTCCGCCCTATAAGACGCAGTTTTGTGCATAATTTGCATGCCCTCTGACTTATATGGATATTTTTTCCAAATTTAAAAACCATTTTTTTAGCTGAGATATGACCGTTTTCATTAATTCTGACTGAAAAAAAAAAAAGAGCAGTATCACTTTCAGCCACTTGATGGCAGCAGAGTAGTAGTAGCAGTATGGCATGCCACTGTATCATGTAAGCGTGGCTATAATGAAAAATTAAAAAAAGTTCAAGACAAAAACAATTGGACTTTATTTATTATACTTTATTTTATACTTTATTGTTTTTGTCTTGAACTTTTTAGAATTTACCATGTCCTGGATGACTGAGAATCTTCACCAGCTATTAATGACACATTTGGCTTGCCTTAGTCTCCCCACCTTTGTTCTGCTCGCTGCTGGGAACGGTCAAACCAGCTGCACCGCCCTGGCGAAATGCAGCTAATTTGACCATTGAAGTGCATTTATTAAGTAAATCTTAGACTGACCCACACCTTTGCTATAATTTTGAGCAAACAAATAATTGTTTAGGTGCTTTTCTTGTTAATTTTCAGAGAAATGAGCCGCGTTCCCCCTCCCTTTTTTCTTCCTCTGCGCGTTCACGGAGCACCAAGGCAGCGAAACTATTTTTGAAATACATATGATTTGACCATTAAAGTGCATTAATTAAGCAAATGTTAGACTGAGACACACCTTTGCTATAATTTCGAGCCAACAAAAATTTTTTTTAACTGGTTATCTTGTTAAATTTTAAAGAAATGCAGCGGCTCGTCCATCTGCACATGCACGCTTCACAGCACCAAGGCAGCTAAACCATTTTTGAAATTCAGCTGATTTGACCATTAAAATGCATTTTTTAAAGGAATGATTCAACTGAGACACACCTTGCTATAATTTCCAGCAAACAAATAATTGTTTTTAAGTGTTAATCTTGTTAAAATCCTCCCGTGCACGCTCTTGCGCCCACCACTTGGCAGCCCATCAATTTTTTACACAACACCGGCCCACATTTCCGGGTTTTCAGCGGTGACGCATAACAAACGCGATGCTTCAGCAGTGATGCATAATAGATGTGACACATACGGTGAAGCAACGTATTTATGGATTTTTCCACTTTATTAGACATATTTGGACTGATGTGACTTATAGGGCGGTGAGACGTGTACGGCGGAAAATATGGTATTTGTCCACATTTACCGTATTTTCTGGAGTATGAGTCACAGTTTTTTGCATAGATTTGTCAGTCCTTCGACTTATACGCCAAACAACTTATATATATTTTTTTCACATATTCATAACGCAATTGTTTAACGCTTTAAATTTCGAAGAACTGCAATAGTGAGTCCTCCCATGTGCGCTCACTTCACACAGCTGGTGCAGGCGGAGGAACGCTGGAGAGCTAGCAGCTGCGATGGATGTACGCATGGATTGATGGATGGATGGATGAATGAATTGACCATTACATAAAGGCATAATAAACTTGACTGGTCAGTGGTGACACATAATAAATGTGATTTATACGTCAAAGCGACTTGTATGTTTTTTCCTCTTCATGATGCTTTTTTTTTTTTTAAATGATGCGACTTATACACCAGAAAATATGGTACATAGAATACACTTCACAAGATCCAGAGTATCGCTTTCTTATTTCAGATGCTCTGTTCCAGTTTTCTTCTGTTCATTAAAGAGGACAGCAGAGAAGCTCTTTGGACCATTTACAGATGCACTCTTGCACAAATTGATGTGATTTGTGTTTCTGCCTCTCTAAAGGATCCAAACCGGTTGTATTACGAGTCTGCAGAGCTGAAGCTGTTTGAGAATATTGAGTGTGAGTGGCCTCTGTTCTGGACGTACTTAATTTTGGATGGAATATTCAGCAATAGTCAGGAACAGGTAAGTTCCACCTGAACTTATCTCCTTGTTTCAGTCTATGACAGTACATCCAGCTAGAGTGAAAACAACAACAAATGTTTCACACCTTTACTGTTCATCGTTTGTGTGCATGAAATGCACATTGAGATCCTGTTTGTTCCTCATGCTATTTTATGCTGCTTAACTACTATTGCAAACCTGATCCTATTGCTAGATCCCAGTCCTGGAGATGATTGTATTTTGGGTATTGTGCCATGAAGGTTTTTTTAAATATTTAACTTTATTTGAGCTCCACTAGGGTATATTGGGAAAAGTTCAACAGTTTAGATTTGGTCCCTTCTGACAACTTTTTAATGAAGGTTCTGCAGACTAATGGCACTTTGCCACTGTCTCAACTCTCAACGGTTCTCCACGACACCACACCAGTTTAGGGCCTGCTCATTGCTGGTACCCACCCCACTCAGCTCAGTTTCTGGAACCACATTGTTCATGGTTCTAACTGGACTTCTTCAAGGGATGATTTTGACTTAAACAGACCGCAACTGTTGATTTGACAACAGAGCTACATCACTGTAAACTACAGCTGAACCTCGTGTTGACGGATGGTGCCACAAGAATTGAGCACATTAACAGAGAGATATCGGAGATGATTGCGCAGCATGGCTACACCCGGACTTATCAGCAGTGCCAAGATAAGCTAAAGAAATTGTCTGATTATAGGGAGCTTAAGGGCCACAGTGGGCAGAGTGGCTTGAACACAATGACCAGTTGTGATACTGCCCACTTTGTATTGACGATCTCGCCCACAGAGCGAGGAAACAAGTCACAGTGGCAAATCTACACCTGAGAAAAACCAATAAAACGAGAGCCGAGTGGATTCACAATAATCAATGGCAAAGCGGGATTAGAGACTTCATTAAACATCCAACAAATGTCCAGTAATCCCAGAACTTTAGATTATACCTTTCAGCATTATAAGAATTATAGAAGTTTTACTTTTTATGCAAATGAGTCTGCTCCAGTGCAAACACAGCTTACAGCCTCAAAGTTTAGCATTATATAACACAGCGATATAACTGTAGCATTTAATATTACTAGAGCTACTACTACTAATAGTACTATTGCTATAATAATGGTACTTCGAGTATTAGAATAATACATTTACTAGTTCTAGTAATGTTAAGTTATTATAAGATAGTAATCATGATAATAGTACTAATAATAAAGCTAGTACTAATATTACTTCTATAAGTATACTATTACTAATATAAGTCTAGTTTCGCTAATATTATAGTGCTAGTACAAATATAGTACTAAAAGAATACTTGCACTAATATAGTACTAGAAGTACTAGTATTGTTGTACTGATATATGTATTCATTCATTCAACCTTTATTTAAACAGATAAATCACATTGAGCCTCGAAGACTCATTTACAAGTGAGACCTGTTTGGACAGACAAAAAAACAGTGGTTAACTGGACACATGTAGGAGTTGGAGGCGAAAAAAATTCCTATCAGACTTTTTTCTTGGCTGAGAAAACCTCTAATATTGAAAAAACACTTCGCACAAACAAGCACATATTTACGTAGACATTCTGCATCAGAGACGAGAGCGGTCAACAACGCTTATAGATGCTCTCGAGGTCACTGTAATCAGTCAGTGTCCTCCGGTGAGATCCATAAACATTCTCGAGGTATGTCGAGAAATGGCCAAGGATAACCTCTATAAGAATCCAGAGCCCTGAAATGATGACACAAAGTTTATTCAGCTGGCTCATCTAGTTATCAGTTGGAAATTCCTCAGGGAGGGGGTGGTGAGCCTCAGATCACATTTTCTCCAGGCGACTTTAGATAAGAGCCTTCAAGGACAGCCAAGGCGACCAAAATTTAGATAAACACACAGTTGTTTTGGGGACAGGCAGAACTTAATGACATCAACCTTCAGTATGTGTCGGTCTACTCGGTTCCAAAATGTCCAAATTAACATGGCCACACCGATGGAACGTGACTGAGTAAAAATCCCCAAGATCTGATCCATTCAGCCCAAAGCATTTGAGTCCGGGTACTCCAGACATGAACCAAGCCATCATAAAGGCAAGCAGCGTGATCAGATCCAAATTTGCTGCTGACGACTTCCTTGATTGTAGATAAAACCAGCACAAGCTGAATCCAAAAAGCAGGAACCAGTTATCGAAAATCCAATTAAATATGCGTCCTTAAAATCCACAGATGGCAGCAGAGATAGACACATCATCAAGTTTTCCAGTCGATGAGATATCCAGCTGCGTACGTGCCAACAGGTTAAATCGGCTCGCCCAAAGCCTGTCTTCTCTTCGAAGAAATGTTGTAAATTGAGATGAGGGACCAACTGGTCAAAACAAGTCCATAATTATGGTTCGGAAGAAATGCAAGAGAGTCTCACAGCAATTTCACAGACAGACAGAGCAGCAAAGCAAAGTGGAGAGGGAGGGAGAGAAGCATCCGATCTCGTGGGGAGCGAGTGGTGAAGTGATGTATAATACTTGGACTAGTAATTCTAATTGTAGTAGGCTACTGCTACATACAACTATACTTTGACCAGTAGTACTAGTACAAGTATAGTACTATGCTGGTGAAGATAGTACTAGTAGTACTAGAAGTATAGTACTAGTTACTAGAGCCCGACCGATATGGAAATTTTGGCTATAGCTGATACAGATATTGAGAGGGGCGGCGACCACCGATAATGTATATAATGGCTGGAAATCTCTGAGCTTTGTCCATCCCCAAGAATCTAAGTAAACAATGAGTGGAGTGGGGCTTGTTTATTTGGCGCAGCTGTTAGTAACCACGAAGATAAGCAAATCAGATCCACGTTAAACCTAGTCCCACAGCAGGTTTACAAGTGGTGCGCTGGTCATAAAAATATCTTCCTGACGTGCATTCACATTTTATATCCACTATTCACCATAAAGTCATCAAGTGTGTTACAAAAATATAAATTAAACAAGAAATGTCCTTCCTGGGGTGTCAAACTCCAGGCCTCGAGGACCGGAGTCCTGCAACTTTTAGATGTGTCTCTGATGCCACACAGCTGAATCAAATAAGGAGGTCATTAGCAGGACTTTGGAGAACTTGACTGCACTGAGAAGCTAATTCAGTCATATGATTCAGCTGTGTGGCATCAGAGACGCATCTAAAAGTTGCAGGGCTCTGGCCCTCGAGGCCTGGAGTTTGACACCACATCACTTCTGTGAAAAAAAAAAACAGTCAGTCCCGTATGGTGAAGGCCTAATTAGTATTAATCACAGCAGGTTTTTTTTCTTTGAAGAGAAGTTAAGATTTCACTGAGGATGACAAGGATAATGTTACTAACATTGATATATAGTATACGTATATATGTATACTATATATCATGTATACTATTTATATATATATATATAGTATAGTATACTGATATACAGTATTTACTGCTGTTAGATTTATTGTTCTGGATAAAGTTTTAGAAAGCAATAGCATATTCTAAGTTATCCAAAAAGTTAGCTTGCTAACTTGAGAGGCACATAGCTAATGACAAGCGGGTTGGCGGATTGAAGAGAATTTATTATTGCTGATTTATTTTACAGATCAGTCAAAATAAACTTACCATGCTCTGTTCTGCAAAATACACAACACAGTATTTAATCTGTGCTGAATGTGTAAGTCAAACTTAAGTGAACGGCCATGACTTGAAAGTCGTCTTCATGGGCCCTCTGTTGGATACATTGTATAATTACGGCTAGGTCCCAGCATTTTAGGGGTGAAAATTAGAAGTGTGTATATCGGCAAAAAATGGGACAATTATCACCGATACTGTAGGTCCCCAAACATCTATCTCAGACTACATCGTCCCCTACCGATCTATCGGTCGGGTTCTACTAGTTACTTTTATTTGGAGGGATGGCATGAGTTGGTATTTTTGCATCATTTTGCTACTTCATTTTTTTTTTCTATAAGACTGACATAAATTTCAGCTGTTCAAGTGCCTCTGCTTAGGGATAGTCATAAAAGGCTACTATCAAAACTTTTGGTTTTTCGCAGAAAAATCTTTTCCTAGTTCTGCCTTTTTTCTTCTGTGCATTCATGCTGGTGTTGACTGTAATCCAGGTGCAGGAGTATCAGGAAGCTCTGGAAGGGATCCTGATCAAGCAGAAGGATGGGATCTGGTTGCTGCCCGAGCTCTACAGCGTTCCTTCTGAAAAGGTCTTCCTGAGAACACTGAATCATTTAAACGAGCTTTTAGATCTACTGTAAACACAACTCACAGTTTTAACTGCCTTCTGCAGGCTGTGTGTGTGTGTGCATTTTTTATTGCAAACCTTGATATATTTTCTAACAGGTGGAGGAGGAGTACATGAACCCTCATACAGTAGAGAGGATCCCAATGGGCAAATGTCCTCTGAAATGGGGACAGTCTCTGTACATCCTTGGAAAACTCTTATCTGAGGTGACCCGCCATTTTATTACAAAAAAACCCTTGTTACTCTTTATTACTTTATTCCAGTGACACACAATGTTGAGCAAACATCAAACCAAATAATGATTTCAAGTATTATTCATAAACATTTTTAATTTTTTCATTTCCAGGGGTTTCTTGCCCCTGGAGAGATTGACCCTCTTAACCGACGTTTCTCCACCATCCCCAAGCCCGATGTGGTTGTACAGGGTGAGCTTACAGCCTGAGCAGCAGCCAAAAATATATATAACACCAATTAGAATATATTGTTTTTCCCACCAGTGTCGATTTTGGCTGAGACGGAGGAGATTAAGGAGCTGCTGCTGAAGAACGGGATAAACGTGGAGACTGTGGCGGATATTCATCCCATCCACGTGCAGCCATCCAGGGTCCTCAGCCACATCTACGCCAGACTCGGTACTTGATTTAGCATGTAGGGAAAACTTTTTGAGTCAAACATTTCTTTGTTATTGAAAGTTAGTTGTTTATTTTCGAGTCCAGTTCAGTTCAGTTACATAATGGGGCAGTTGGTAGAGCTGCAGCCTCGGTTCAAATCTCAGCCGAGGGCCTTTCTGGGTGGAGTTTGCATGTTTTCTCTATGCATGCATGGGTTTTCTCCCACATACTAAAAACATGCATGTTAGACTGATTGGTAACTCTGGATTGTCCCTAGGTGTGAGTGAGAGAGTGAATGGTTGTTTGTCTCGTTTGTCTCTATGTGTCCCTGTGATGGACTGGAGACCTGTCCAAGGTGTCCCCTGTCTCTCGCCCAGTGACTGCTGGATATGGGCGCCAGTGACCCCCGCAATCCGAAAAGGAAGAAGCGGGTAAAGATAATGGATGGATGGATTTTAAGTGATTGTTAGACAGGTCTGAGACAAGCCTTTAGGTAAAATTACACTTTCTGGCCAAAAAAAAAGGTCACACTAATATTTCATTGGACCTCCTTTAGCTTTGATTACAGCAGCATTCACTGTGTCATTGTTTCGATAAGCTTCTGCAATGTCACAAGATCTATTTCCATCCAGTGTTGCATTAATTTTTCACCAAGCCCTTGCATTGATGACTAGACACTAGGCATGATGGGTGTATCACTTCACCTGCCTCTCTTCTTACCCTGATGCACCCATCACTCTGGAACAGGGTAAATCTGGACTCATCAGACCACATGACCTTCGTCCATTGCTCCATAGTCCAATCTTTATGCTCCCTAGCAAATTGAAACCTTTTTTCCAGTTAGCGTCACTAATTAGCGTTTTTTTTAAGGCTACACAGCTGTTCAGTCCCAATCCCTTGAGTTCCCTTCACATTGTGCATGTGGAAATGCTCTTACTTTCACTATTAAACATAGCCCTGAGTGCTGCTGTTGTTTTTCTTCAATATGATTTCACCAAACGTTTAAGTGATCGCCGATCACGATCATTCAGGATTTTTTCCAGCCACATTTCTTCCTCAAAGACGATGGGTCCCCGCTGTCCTTCCAATTTCTAATAATGTGTTGGACAGTTCTTAACCCTATTTTAGTAGTTTCTACAATCTCCTTAGATGTTTTCTCTGCTTGATGCATGTCAATGATTTTACCCTTCTCAAACAGACTGACATCTTTTTCATGACCACCCGATGTGTCTGTCAACATGGTTGTTTAAGAAAAGAGAAGCAACTCATTGCACCAGATGGGGTTAAATAACTTGTTGCCAGCTGAAAGATAATAGTCCATGCAGTAATTATCCAATAGGAGGCTCGTACCTATTTGCTTAGTTAAATCCAGGTGGTGACTTTTTTTGGGCCAGGCAGTGTATTAAAGGACAGCATGTTTCAAAAACTGCAACATCAAACACATTTTCTTATAGCACAACGTGTTTCCAGAACATGATGGTGATGCTAAAAGAAAAAAAGCTAAATGTGGTAAGCTCAGAGATACTAGGTAAAAACATTTTCAACCAATTATCCAAAAGCACAAAGTTACAGCCTCTTTGATCACAAACAGAATGCAGCTGTGGGAAAAACTATAAGTTCATACACTTCATTTAAAAATGTAAATCTGCAATGCAGATGTTCTAATGGATTATCTTAAAATCTGTTTTGAACATTTGTTATTTTTTGTTCAACATGTGCTCAAACATGAAGTTAGTCCCTGGTTCTTCCCTCTCCATAACACCATAGATTTTAGGATGACGTCATCAGTTTGTGACCTACCTGTTGTCTGTCATGTGTATCAGCCGAGTCTCGTCTATAATCTGATTTAGTCCACATGTTCTCAAACACAGTGCAATCAGATAGTGATGTTATAAACTTTTAACTGCTCACTTCAGCAGCTGTTGGAGCAAAATTCAAAATGTTTAGAACAAAACAAGAATTATGTCACATTTGAGTCACACAGGATTATTGAAAGCAGTAAAGAGAAGAATCATTATCTGCTGGTTTTTTTTTTTTTTTTTGTCCTAATAATCTAAGCTCTGCAGTAGATCCTGACTCTTCAAATTAACCCTCCAGTTATTTTCTGTCTGTTTCAGGTCGTAACCCGAGGCTCGGTCTGACCGGGCGGCCCTACAGGAGGATAGGAGTGCTGGGAACATCCAAGTTCTACATCATCAGGAACACCATCTTCACATTCACGCCTCAGGTTCATAAAACACAAACTGAATTATTGGGAGACGGACCAGTCAATATTGTCATTAGATGACCAAAAAAAAAAAAAAAAAAAAGCTTCAGCTTCATTTTTTTTTTTAAATTCAAAGATTCACTAATAGTTTATTTCTTTTAGGCACAATCCAATTTACACAGATTTTTTCCACTAAAAACTAATTAACAGCATTCATTTATATTATTTTTTTTTTTCTGCTTGAATTTAAAATTGACTGTGCATTTACAATAAAAACAAATGTATATATATATATTTGTATTTTTTCTGAAACGGCACCAGTTTATGTGCCTTCTCTATCCATCACTGAAAATGTACAAATATCTTTTTATATGTGGGGTAAAGAAATATTTACACAAAGAAAACCCAAACTGAAAATAATTAGAAATTTCCTTTAAACCAGAACATAATATCCTAACTCTTTTTTTCTTTCTGCTTTCTCTATAGAAGGAACCAGTCTGAGCAAAGTGATAAACTTCTGTAGAAAAGAAGTAGCACCTTCTTTCTTCTTCTTCCTTTGACTTTGTTTCAACCCCCCACAGAAAAAAAACTGCTCAGTTTTCACTCAGTAAACATTTGATCTACATGTGATTGTTGCTGAGCTCTGGTGTGTTCACTGACCAGGGGAAAAAACAGGTTTTTGGTTGTTGTCTCAGCCCGTCGAGCTTGAAATCAACTGATTTTGGCTTCTATAGTTAATTGATGCAGCTCTTATCTTATCAGTGAAATTATAAATTGACTGAAATTGTATAAAATCTAATTTCCCAAAATGGATCCTTGAATTCTCTTAAACTGATTTCTTAAAACTGTTATGTATATTTTATCTGACACTGTTCATTGTTTATCACTGACATTGGTCTTTTTCTTTTTATTTCACCTCTGAAACCTTCCAGTTCATTGACCACCAGCAGTTCTACTTGGCGCTGGACAACAAGATGATCGTGGAGATGCTGAGGACAGAAATCGCCTACCTCTCGTCCAGATGGAGGATCACTGGACGACCAACCATCACTTTCCCCATTTCACAGAGCATGCTGAGTGGGTTTCTGCACCTGATGATTGTCCTCTGACAGTCAGTAACATCTGTCAAAGGGATAGTTCAGTTTCTCAATGAGTTTCTAAGGAAAAGTTATGAACAGTGAATATCTTACTTGTCGTAGATGGCTCTCTAAACAACCTCAGTTTGTGGAAACAGATTAGTTCTGCACAGATTAGCAATCTAGCTGCTTTATGTTGCTGACAGTTTTACATTACACAAGTATGGGGCAGAAGTTTTAAGATATTCCTGCTGAAAACACCCAGTTTTCACCCAGAGGTGCTATAACTAGCTGCCACTGCTGCTATTTGCTTGTGCAAATTAAAAAGAAATTCAGCTAATTTCATCTGTTTCTTCAGCTGTTTTGTGCAATTTTCAGCTAACTGCAATATTTTTGTGCTTCTTCTAATGTTTTTTCTGCTAAATTCAGTTTGTTATGCTCCTTTCATCTTATTTATGCTAGTTTCAGCTTTTTCTGCTACTTCAGCTATCTTCTTCTTTTGGCTTTTCCCTCTTCATGGGTCACCACAGCGAGTCATCCTTCTCCATCTCACTCTGCTATTTATAATAATATTAATAATTATAATCATATTAATAGCTCCTTCTGCTATTTCAGCTATATTTAGCTGTTTTATGGTAAATTGAGCTTTTTCAGCTAATTCCACATTTTTTGCGCTCTTAAGCTGTTTTCAGTCTAATTCAGCTAAAATTGTCGCTCCACTTCATTCTGGTAATTTAAGCTTTTTTCTGCATTTTTAGCTACTATTCAGCTGTTTTTGATGTTTTCTGCCTTTTTAAGATAATTTCCACTCTGTACTTATTTCTGGTTCTTTCAGCCTAATTGGGCAAACTTGTGTTCCTGCTTTCTTCTGCTAATTTTAGCTTTTTCTACCTTTTTAGCATTTCTTTAGCTAATTTCAGCTGTTTTCAGATAAATTCAAGTTTTGCGAGGTAATTTCTGTTTCTTTCAGCCTAATTAGCATCTTTATGCTAATTTCTGTTTGTCATGCCCCTTTCTGCTTTTTTCTGTTAGTTTCAGCTTTTTCTACAATTTCAACTACTATTTAGCTGTTTTTATGCTAATTTTAGTTTTTTTAAGCTTATTTCACATTTTGTAAGCTAATTTCAGCTCTTTCTACATCCTTTTGGTAGTTAAACTTTTGGTAGTTGGGGGCCGAGATGGGGTAGAGGTAGAGCAGCCGACTTTGGACCCGAAAGTTGTGGTTCAACTCCCAGCCATGCCCACATGTCATAGTGTCTCTGAGCAAGACACCCAGTCCCTAATTACTCCCCGGGTGCCTACATAGCTGCCCACTGCGCCACCTGAGTATATCTCAGGTGTGATGGGTTAAATGCAGAGAACTAATTTCATCAAAGCATGGGAACAAACAATGATGACAATCTCAGACTTCCCTTCCTTCCCAGGTTTCTATGTAAATAAGCAGTAATGGAAACTGACTGCAGGGTCAAAGTTCATAAAATAGTGTCCATATGAATCACTTTGGAAGTTCAAGACTTTAGATTTTAATTGTTTCTTAAGAACTCCACTTTGAAGATCTGAATCATTTAAAATATTTTTTACTAATTGTTTTTAAGTGTAGATCTTCTCTCATTTTGTGCTACAGCTGAAGATCATTCAGACCTGGACCCTGCTGTCTTGGCTACACTAAAGAAGTTACAGGATGGATATTTTGGAGGAGCAAGGTGTTGCCTTTTGAAATTTTAAACTCACAGTAGATCTAATTTTTAGCTTCTGCCTTTTGTTTTTGAGATATCTTTATGCCCTGACATTGCTGTCTCTTAAACACGTCCTTCTCCGTCCTCTGCAGGACCCAGACGGGGAAGCTGTCGGAGTTCCTGACCACTTCCTGCTGCGCTCATCTCAGCTTCCTGGACTTCAAGGGCTCTCGTGGCATGGGCCAGCACCGTGAGGAGAGCGATAGAGATGATTTCGGTGCTGGATATGTGCACGAGTTACGATACGATGATGGTAAGAATTTTTTAAAAAGAAGAAAATGGTTGTGTATTTTTATACAGTGGATGTAAACTCTGGTTTCAACTGAAAATATTCTGTTGCAAACTCACAAATTCCTTTTTTATTTTTTTCTTATTCACGGATCCTTCTGGTGATAACTTAGATTTGTTCAAACAACTCAGCTGCTGGCATGGCTTCAGTTGTAAATCAACTGATGCTGGAACGCAAATAGTGGGCGGGGCAGGGGATCTGGGGCTCCTTCTCCATACAATTTTGAATAAATTAGATGCTATTTCTTGCATTTTGGTGTATTATAACAGGCTGTTAAACATCTGCGTTTACCTGCATTTGTAAACACTGCCAACTCTTCTCCGCTGAATTCACTGTCCTTGTTGTCCGACTCCACATGTGAAACCTCCAGGCGCCTCCTCCATCTGTTCATGGCGGCTGCCTGTGGGCGGCTGCCTGTGGGCTCCTGCCTGCGTACGACTGCCTGGTTAGCTCAGCACTCACCCCCATCACTCTTTTAGGAGCGGAGATTTTTTCAAGGGTAGGGGCAGAAATGCTTACTTGAAGCGGCAGCTCGTATTAAGAAGCTCATAAGTGGCTGTTGTGTTTAAAATTAGTGTTTATATAATTATTTTCAGTTTACATAGCCAGTATATAAGTTTTATTCGTTCAAGGCAGTCATATTTGTTCATAACTTTATTATTAGTAAACCTAAGAGTTACTCGATCCAAGCAAACAGTTACTGGAACACACCCTGTCAAAATAAGTTGTTTGGCGTATTGTTTTATTAAGTGTTTAGTGTTTTCTTAGTTTGAGTATCTCTAAGTTCTTATCTTAGATCTTATTACTGTTTTTCTTTTACATTTTATACTTTTGTTGGATGTAACTGGGACCCTGTGTACACAATTTTGTCCCACCACATGTACCACATGAGATGGGAATGACAATAAAGAACCTTGACCCTTGATATTATAAAAGTGAGGGGGAGAAAAGGGCTCACGCAGAAGAATGTTAAAAGAATGAACACATTGTGGAAGGTTCAATTAAATCTTAATGCGTGATTTTTAAAAGGTCTTGACTTTCAGCTGCTGTTTCTTTAAATAATCTTGTTCTTTTAAGCATTTTACTAAAACTGAGGAGAATTTGAATCATCTAACAAAATGACCCATAAACAGATGTGGTGTCATTTTTTTAGATTTAAATTCAATCCAAAATTTCTGAATTTATTTTGTGATGCTCAAAATTCTGAATATTTACATTGAACTAAATGCTAATTACACCCCACCCTCGCTCTAGAGGCAGACGACCTTGCACAGTACCTAGACCACCTTTTGGCCCACTCCGCCCCTAAGAAGACCAAGCCTCAGGTGGGAGGTCTGGGCAGATTCAAGGCCGTGGCCACCAAAACCAAGGAGATTGTTTCTCTGATGAACAAGGCTCAGGATCTGAACATTCACAGTGAGTGAGCTCATGTTATCTCCACAAACTAACGGTTTATACAACAGCTTTAATTTTAAGAATACATTGCGGTTCTCCAGATTTTAACTTTTTCGTTTGTTTGTCCAGACGTCAATATGTACCTACCAAGCAAGCTGTTCCGCTCTCGTCAACCATCGCTCAACCTGAATCTTCCAGAAACCTCTGCTCCGCAAGCAACTCAGGTGAACCCTGTTTTGCTGTTTCTTTTCTTTTTCTCTTCTTCGTCCTCACAAGCACAACATTTTAAGCTTTACAGTCTAAAAGCTCAATGCACCACTCTTTAGTGGCTCTGACTAACCATTCTTCTGCCTCTGTCCTCCAGAGCTCAGAGGTGGTGGCCACGATACAGAGCGGCATCCCCAAAGACGCCAGCGGAGCCGTCGATTACAACGCTTTGGTCCAACTGCTGAGAGACACCAAGAACCTTCAGGACCAGGCTGATATACTTTACATCCTCTTCAAAGAAAAGTGAGGTTCAGGTTTTATTGGAGCTTGTGAACCGTTTTCAGGTGGTTTACAGAAGCAAACACTTCGAAACAGACCTAATTATCTCAACACACATTTGTCTTAAATTATCAGTACGTTATTCATCCATCCATCCATTTTCTTTACCCACTTATTCCAACTTGGGTCACGGGGGGTCGCTGGTGCCCATGTCCAGCAATCACTGTGCGAGGGGCGGGGTACACCCTGGACGGGTCGCAAGTCCATCACAGGGCCACATAGAGACAAACGAGACAAACAACCATTCACTCTCTCACTCACACCTAGGGACAATTTAGAGTTACCAATCAGCCTAACATGCATGTTTTTGGACTGTGGGAGGAAACCGGAGTACCCGGAGAAAACCCACGCATGCACGGAGAGAACATGCCAACTCCACCCAGAAAGGCCCCTGGACCGGGGTTTGAACCAGGGACCTGCTCGCTGAGAGGCAGCAGCTCTACCAGTTGCGCCACCGTGCTGCCCAGTACGTTATTGTTCCTCCAAAATTATTTTCTGGTACCGTTCAAAAGGATTTGTTGTTCTGTCCCATTAGCCACACAAGTCAGAATTTGCTAATGGAATTTACATCAAACCCAACTTAACAGTGTTCCAGTTACAGGAGATAAACCCATTAGGATTTGCTCATTATTCTCCATGACCTTGCTTTTTTTAATAAAACAAGCTAACAGAAACAGAAAAAAACAAATGATTTACGTTAATGACAAGACTCTGCGGGTAGCAGGTCACTAATAAGAAAAAGAAAAAAAAAACACACAAATAGCCTGCCGCAGTATTTTTCAAAGCATGTGTTATAGAGTCCGGCTGATATGGAATTTTGGCTATCGCCAATACCAGTATTGGAAGGGAAAGGCAGCCACCAATAACTAATATAATGGCTGGAAATATCTGAGCTTTGTCCACCCCCAAGAATCAAAGTAAACAGTGAGTGGAGCGAGGCTTGTTTATTTAGCGCAGCTGTTAGCAACCATGAAGCTAAGCAAATCAGATCCAGCTAGACCTAGACCCCCTCTAGGTTTACAAGTGGTGCACTGGTCATAAAAAACAGTCTTCCTAACGTGCATTCACATTTTCTATCCTCCTCCTATTCACCGTAAAGTTATCAAGTGTGTTACAAAAATATAAATTAAACATAGAATTACCCTTCCCTGTTCATTGTTTAAACAGTCAGTCACATATGGCGAAGGCCTAATTAGTATTGACTGCAGCGGCATTTATTTTTCTTTGTAGAGTAAGTAAAGATTTCAGACAATCATTACGATGAGGATGACAAAGATAACGTTACTGACACAGGATGTCCTCACAAACTGGAAGCTCAGTCCGACAGGACTCGTTTCTGTAACTACTGATAACGGGGCTAATGTCATGATGGCGCTGCAACTGAACACTAATGTTAGCTTGCTAACTTGAGAGGCTTGTAGATAATGACAAGCGGGCTAGAGGATTGAAGAGAATTTATAATCATTGACTTATTTTACATATCAGTTAAAATAAACTTACCATGCTCTGTTCTGCAAAATACACTGCACAGTATTGTTCCCTGCTTCAGCTGCGATGAAAGTGAAACTTAAGGCCATGACTAGAAAGTTGTCTTCATGCATCCTCTGCTGGATACATTGCATAATTACGGCTGGTTCACAGCATGTGTTCATATCAGTGCATATTACTGCACCACCTGGTGGTGGATGGGTTAAATGCAGAGACTAATTTCACCATTGTATGGAAACATGCAGTGCTGACATTGTGATGACATTATTATTATTATTATTATTATCACTGATACCAATATGTCTCCAAACGTCTATATTGACCTCAAATATCGGCTCCTACCGATATATTGGTTGGGCTCTAATGCATTATATGACCTAACTAGTTCCCATACATGCACCTCTCTCCTCCCCTCACTGCTGCTGTGGATCAAGACTGAGACATTTTTAACATACAGCTGATTTGAAACATTTCAGAACATCTTGAATTTTATGTTTTAGCTACATGAACATCTTTGTGATTGACTTGAAGTAGAAACATGAAGCAACAAGACATTGGTGAATTAATTTAATCTTCAGTGTTGTACTTCAGGGGTATGGAGTGGGACACCCAGCTGTACGGTAAAGGCTGCACAGTCGGGTCTTTACTGGGTGATCTTTACGAGAAGGCAGGTGATCTCAAACAGTGGGGGCTTATCAGGATGATCTCTGGCATGCTGAAGAAGAAGGTGGAGGAGCTCGACTCGGTACGCCACATTAACAAGTGCATGTATGCATTTTGCCACGTCCTGGTTTCCAGTCCTCTCTTCTAATCAGTCACAATTTCTTGCCAGGCCTGCTCCGATTTGCTCGCCCACCAGAAGCACCTGACTGTAGGTCTTCCTCCTGAACCGAGGGAGAAAACCATCACGGCTCCCATCCCTCCGGACCAGCTGTCTGCTCTCATCGATGAGGCCAGCGACAACAACATCAGCGTGGCCATCCTCACTCAGGTGGGTTATATCTTCAACAGTCCCTATAGTGCTCCTTCACTCACCTCCTGCCTTCTCTCCCTACCAGGAAATCATGGTGTACCTCGCAATGAGCATCAGGACTCAACCCGGTCTGTTCACGGAGATGTTCAGACTGCGAATCGGCCTTATCATCCAGGTCATGGCCACCGAGCTGGCTCAGTCACTCAACTGTTCAGGTGAGACCGATGGCAGACAGTACGCAGAAAAGAACAAGAGTGTTGCCAACATTATATAATACACCCGTCAATACACCTGTAAGTTTACAGAGTAATCAAAATCCAAATCTTAAATTCCCTCCCACAACAGATACAGATACAGAGATTCTTTATTGTTGTTCACACCACATGCGGTACATATGGTGGAGCGAAATTATGTACACAGGGTCCCAGTTACATCCAACAATAAAATGTAAAAGAAAAACAGTAGTAAGATCTACGACATGAACTAAAAAAACATCAACTAAAAATACACTAAGCACTAGTAGCATAAAAACAATACGTCGAACAGCAGCACGAACATGAGTCTGTGTGAGCAGATGAGCACGAATGTACACAGCAGCATGAAACAGATCAGCAGCAACATGAAATAGATCAGCAGCAACATGATGTGATTCTTCTGGTTAGAGATTCATGAGTCTAACAGCCTCAGGGTAGAAGCTGTTCCTCAGTCTAGTGGTTCTACACTTACTGCTCCTTAACCTCCTTCCTGAGGGGAGCAGGGGCAAAGTGTGTGTGTGCTGGGTGAGTGGGGTCCTTCATGATGCAGGTGGCCCTCTTCCTGCATCTGGAGGTGTAGATATCTGTGATGGTGGGGAGGCTGACTCCGACAGTCTTCTGTGCAGCCTTCACCACTCTCTGCAAAGCTTTTCTTTCTGCAGCTGTGCAGCCTCCATGCCACACGTTGATGCTGGACAATACATGACCAGAGTAGTAGACTTCATCAGAAACACTCAAGATTTATTTAGTGAAAGTGGTCTTAATAAAAAATAATTTTTTGAGAATATTTTCTATCCTAAACTTGTGTGGAGACACACCATGGACAACTTACTGTGCACTGTTTATGGATGGACATTGGACAGAAAGGAACAATCTAGGAATGAAAGGGTTTGGCATTTCTGTGTTGCTCAGGTGTGGCTAGAGCATAGACAAGGATTTAACAAATAGGTCACATGTGACCTTTTGACCCTGTGACATTAAAATCATTAAGGTTCATCCTTGACCCATGAAGGCATCCAGCTGTTCAGTTTCACATTCCTACGTTACACGGTTGCAGATTTGGAGCACAGAAACATTTTCACAAAAGGGTCACCTGTGACCTTGACCTTTGAAATTAATAAGGATCATCCTTAACTCAGAGTGGTGGTTCAGGGAAGTGGTGGCACAGTGGTTAGAGAAGGTGGGTCTGTGATCGGAAGATCGCCAGTTCAACTCCCAGTACAGACAACATCAAAATGTGGGTGGGATAGATGAAGCACCCACACCTGCCTCCACCCTCATTTGCCCCACTCTGGGCCCTTGAGCAAGGCCCTTAACCCCCACCATCTGTTCCCCTGGTTCTCCTAGATGGCAGCTCTCTGCTCCACACAGAGGGCTGTGGTAGCTCGGTGGTCTGTGGTTGCATCAGGAAGGGCATCCAGCACAAAAAAAAATCGTCAAGTCTTCGTGGTTCTTAGTTCGGTGTGGCGACCCCTGAAGAAGGGAGCAGCTGAAAGAAGGAAAAAAAGTCCTTAACTGAGTAGTCTGTACCGCTGAACAGCGAAATGGGTTTGAAATTCCCATGTTAAAGGGTTTTCAATTTAGGGCTTGGACAAAAAATTGTCCGCAGACAGATAGCGGACAGATGGCGCCATACCATAATGCATCTCGTCACGGGAATAAAAAACTGTGGATGGCTCTAGATAATAAATTGTTTACCATATCTTTAGCCTTGCAGAGTTGCTGGGGGGTGCAAGAGTTTGATTGTCTAGTCTGCATAGGTTTAATGAATCCCAAGACATTTTAAATGATTATCCAGTCATTTATAATGTAAAAAAAAACCAGCAGATTTAAAGCTAGAACAGAATACCTGAACTCACACCAAAATACCCATAAAGAAATGATTTCTTAAGTAATAAATATTGAAGGGTTTTGATCAGGCATCATGTACTTGTTTGTGTTTTTGCAGGAGAGGAGGCCACAGAGAGTTTGATTAGTCTCAGCCCGTCTGAACTGAAGAATCTGCTCCACCACATCCTGAGTGGGAAGGAGTTCGGGGTGCAGCGCAGTGGTCAGTTCTCACTTTGACTTCTTTTCAAGTCAGTTGTGCTCGTTTCAACATTTTTAATTTCTCCTTTAAACTTTACTTGTATAACCAGTAAGGATGTTTCCACACACATCATTTCACATTTATTTTTGTTTAAGTAATGACAAGGTAGAATATGTTGTGTTTTTAGATTTGAATCATTTTAGAACCTTGTATAAACCAGATTATTGTTTTGTGCTGATGAGTCAAATCCAATAATTGAACGAGAAATCTTTGATTACTTTACGTCAGTCAGAGATTCTTTATTGTCGTTCACATCACTTGTGGTTCATGTGGTGGAACGAAGTTGTGTACACAGGGTCCCAGTTACATCCAACAATAAAATGTAAAAGAAAAACAGTAATAAGATCTAAGATATGAACTAAAAAAACATCAACGAAATATACACTAAGCACTAATAGCATAAAAACATTACATCTAACAGCAGCACGAATATGAGCCTGTGTGAGCAGATGAGCACGCATGAACACAGCAACATGAAACAGGTCAGCAGCAACATGAAACAGATCAGCAGCAACATGACGTGATTTTTCACAGTGATCATTCTGGTTAGAGATTCATGAGTCTAACAGCCTCAGGGTAGAAGCTGTTCCTCAGTCTAGTGGTTCTACACTTACTGCTCCTTAACCTCCTTCCTGAGGAGAGCAGGGCAAAGAGTGTGTGTGCTGGGTGAGTGGGATCCTTCATGATGCAGGTGGCCCTCTTCCTGCATCTGGAGGTGTAGATGTCTGTGATGGTGGAGAGACTGACTCCAACAGACTTCTGTGTAGCCTTCACCGCTCTCTGCAAAGCTTTTCTTTCTGCAGCTGTGCAGCCTCCATGCCACACGTTGATGCTGGAGCACAGGATGCTCTCCACTGCACACCTGTAGAAGGAGGTGAAAATGCCTCAGAGTTCAGTGATGTTGACACCACCTTTGGAACATTGAACATAATACCTGTATACCTGGATTATTGAGCATGGACTTTGTTGTTTTCAACCAGTTTGACAAGACTGTCAACAAGGAAGAGGGCCAGCAATGGAGGAGGGGCATACCAAAGAGACCATCTTAGCACAAGCAAAACTGGTTTGTTCCACTTTGGAGTAAGCTGTTGGGGGAAGAATCAGTTGTGTTGTGTGTTTCCTTGACTGATGAAGCCTTCCGGATTGAAGGTGAAACATTTCAGCACAAAAAAAAAGAAACTGTCCAGATGACCTGACTGAAAAATGTTGGATTGAACATAAGGTCTAACAAAGTTCAATCTGGTCCTCTGGACATTCAAAAAAACAAAACAAAGCAAAAAAATGTAGATATGTTTCGTCTTTCATCTGAAAGACTTCCTCAGTCTGAGGTGCTGTATTCAGCTCAGTCTCTTAAGTAGCTGGTCAGCACAGAAGATCACCATCATCAGGCCAGGACTCTGCGGTCTTCATTCATCTCCAGGCCAGCGGTCACTCTTTCAGGGATGAAGATGTTCACATCCTGGACAGAGAGGAACGATGGTTTGAGAGAGGAGTAAAGGAGGCCATCTTTGTGAAAAGAAATCGTCCATCATTAAACAGGGGTGGAGGCCTCCAGGTTCAACTGTCCCCCTCTTACAATGCTGTTATTGCTAGTAGTATCACTCAGCCCTCTGTGAATAGTAAACAGCCATCAGTGTGCTAATGACCCATTGTTAGGCTGATGGTCCTTCTTGACCACGTGAGCAGCTGGTTTTGGTTGTCAGCAGCAAACTGGTTGATCCACTCCGAGAAGGTGCTATTTAAGAGACTGAGCTGAATACAGCTCCTCAGACTGAGGAAGTCTCTCGGATGAAAGACGAAACGTATCTACATTTTTTCGCTTTGTTTTGTTTTTTTGAATGTCCAGAAGACCAGATTGAACTTTTTTAGATTTTTCTACCTGGATTATTGAGCATGCATCAGGATATTGAACATAAGGCTTCTGTTTTAGCTTGTTGTTTTAGCACAGCATAGCTTCAGATGCATTTCCTGATGTTAGTACGTGCTGTCAAGCGATTCTCGAACTGGGGTCCCCGGACCCCTGGGGTTCCGCAAGCCGGTGCTTGGGGGTCCGCAAAAAATAAAATAAAATAAATAAATAAATATATAAATATATATATATATATATATATATATATATATATATATATATATATATTTTTTTTTTACAAGCACGTAGATGTTTAACAACCTGTTAAAATACACCAAAATGCAGGAAATTACATCTACTTTATTCAAAATTTCTGGGGGAGGACCTCCATATCCCACCCTTGCCCGCTATTTATGTTCCAGCATTGATCAGTTTACAAATTATTCCCTGTTACTTGGTCTGACTACTGCTGTAATGATTCTGTTCAGTTCTGAGGGGTGTCCAGTTTAGATTTCATCTTTGCACATAGATTTTATAAATCAATATAATACACAACATCAATATTGTATTTTTGTGTATGTCTGTTATCAAAACATCTAACAAACCACTGGACAGATGTTGCTGAATCAATCAGGCTATCATTGCTATTCAGTCGTTGCTTAATTTATTGACTTGTTTCTTCATTTTCTTATTTAAAAATTTCCCATCGTGACTTTTTATCGTAACTTTTTGAAGAATAAACATTAATCATTGGTGCTTCATTTTCATCTTCCTGTATTTCCTCCTCCACAGTGAGAGAAGGGGACACCGGCGTCAGTTCTGCCATCTCCATCCATCACCTGGGCAACGCCGGCGCCACCAAGAGCGAGAGAGCCGGCATCAGCAAACTGAAGAGCGACATGAAGATGGTAGGAAAATTCTTACAGGAATACACGGACTAACACAGTTTCAACTGATTCTTTTCATTTTGAGTTGCATTTAGAGACACAGTTAGACTTTTCAACCCAAAACTAGAGCTACGAAACAAACTCAGCAGCTGTTTGGGAAGGAAAGGAGGTGGATTAAAGATGGACATGATTCTGTTTTAAACACTGCAGTAAACTGACTGTTGTGCTTTTTACAGCTGGATCGCAGGCTGTCTTTGATGGACTCGAGTAAGGAGGTGATGATGATGGTTTTTAATATAAAAGTGGGTGTTAATTCACTGGCTGTGTGCCCACACAAAAGATAATGGTGGGGAAAAGAAGACTTGGTTCAGTAATTGTATTCACGGCTCTGAACTTTGTGTAGACAGAGCACAAATGATCCTAAACAGGTTCAACAAATGCAATTTCTATAAGCTTAAAGTATCAGATATAGATGATTGATGATTAATTATTATAAATTATGATTGATGATGATATAGATGATTAATAGAAGTCCTTTAATTCTTCCACACTCTTGTTGGTCTAGATTTATAAACTCCAGAATGAACAAGCAGAAGCTGTTGTCTCCAAAAATCAAGACGTTTGTACCTGTCTACATTTGTAATTATTTTCGAATGGGTGATTTTTTCACTTTTTAAAAAATCTTTGCAAACATAAATATACAGAAATTTCAACAGACATTGCATCAGTAGGTGGTGATGGCATCTAATGACTAACAACACAAAACCCATTGAAAGAAAATTCTGAGCTTGCCTAGTAAGGTTCAAAAAGTTGTCATTATCTTTACATATTTTATAGTTTAGTTACATCAGTTAAAACATCCCTTATACGATCCTATTGAGGCGACAACTCAAAAGACGAATTAGATTTGTCTTGTTGTATAGTCTTTACATGCATAATATACAAAACAAAAGTTGACATGTACAAAGTAAGCTGCTAGGTTTTGTTGCAGAAAACTTGTGATTTTCATTTCCGCTTAAAATAATTTACTGGATCAGTTATGTTGAGGTTGCGGTAGCTCGGTGGTCAGTGCTGCAATCTTGTAATCCAGAGGTTATGGTTTTGAGTCTATGTTGCGTCAGGAAGGGCATTCGATGTAAAACAATTGCCAAGTCTTTTACATGATTTCACTCACTGTGGCGACTCCTGAAGAAGAGAGCAACTGCAAAAAATAAAACTGGATCAGTGATGCTGTTGAAACCATTTAAGGGATTAGCTTCTCCGAATATAATATTTCTATTTTGTTTTTGCTCAAATGAACTAAGTTTCATCTTAGTCCAGTGTTTGTACATTTTTGAGAATTCAGCCTTGTCTGAATAGATTCAAAGCGGTTCCCTTACCCTATGTAGCCAATTAGATCCAAGGTCATTGGCAAAATAGTGAAAAGCTCCAAGGGAATCATAGATAATGAGAAAAAAATTGGGACCCAAGATAAAGCCTTGAGGCACCCCACAAATACAGGACACAGTTCAAATATTTTGCTAAACGAACAGAGAATCTTTTGTCTGACATGTACAACTGGAACTATTTAAGGCCTGTCTGTACCTTTAACAGAAACTCAGTTGAATTACCATACTTAAATAGTTCAACTATTCAAAAATAAAAAGCACAAACCTCCTTGCTTCCATGGGCTTTGAGGATTTGAGGATAGGATTGTTCGTACATTTTTGAAAATTCAGCCATGTCTGAATAGTTTCAAAGCGGTTCACTTATGTAGCCAATTAGATCCAAGGTCATCAGGAAAACAGTGAAAGGCTCCAAGGAAATCATAGATAATGAGAAAAAAAAATGGTACCCAAGATAAAGCCTTGTGGCACCCCACAAATACAGGACACAGTTCAAATATTTTGCTAAACGAACAGAATCTTTTGTCTGACAGGTGCAACTGGAACTATTTAAGGCCTGTACCTTTAATAGCAACTTGTAATATTACCGTACTTGAATAGTTCAACTTATTAGAAAATAAAAAGCACAAATCTCCTTGCTTCCATGAGCGTTGAGCCCTAACATCAAGGCTCTGTGGGCTTTGAAAACCCCAGATGATACTAGAGAACAAACCTCAAACTTTTGTTAACCCAAACCCAGCATCTGGAACATGTTGGCCAAAACTGGGTGGGACGTTAAGTATAATTTTTTTTAATTCAGATCTGGATGACAGAAAGGTTAAAACTCATAATCCAGAGTGGATTTCTATGTTTCTTCTTTTCAGCTCGACCAGTCCATGACACCAACTTCTAAGGTGACCGTAATGACTAATGTAAACTGTTTAAAGTGACAAACAAATGACCTCAGTGATTTGTCTGCTCTAAAACGCAGCACTGCAAGTTTAATTTCTCGTTATTTAAATATTGACAAATCTGCAGCTAACCACCATCTTTGTTGATGTTTCATTAATTTTACTGATGAATCCATTTAAACCAAGAAAATGCTAGCTCATTTTAACCAATTACGGTATGTGTTTACATTTGCTAACATACATAATTTACTGTCACGTTTTTCGTTTTTATGTGTAGAATTTAGGGATGCACAATATTATCGGCCGATATTGGCAATAAAGTTAAATAACGGACATTGGCTGTTCCATCAAAATAATTCACCGATATAAAATGTGCCGTTTTTATACATATATATATGCATACAGACTCTTTCCAAAAAATTAGAATATCATGGAAAAGTTGTTTAACTTCCATAATTCCATTAAAAAAGTTAATATTTAATAGATGATAGATTCAGGGCCCACAATTTAAACAATTTCAAGTATTTATTTGTTTATTTTTACATAATTTGGGCTTCCAGCTCATGAAACCCACGAAAACAGGATTACAAAAAAATAGAATACTGTGAAGAAATCAGACCTCACTACTTCTCAGTTTTTGCAGAAAAAAGAAAGAAATTAGGATCACAACAAATCAATCAAAATATGGTACTTTCAAAACGATACGTCAATCTTCAACACTTTGTTGGGAATCCCTTTGCCTTAATCACTGACTGGATGCGACGTGACATTGAAGCAATCAGCCTGTGGCATTGACTGGGAGTTATGGAAGCCCAGATTTCCTTCATGCTTGCTGTCAGATCTTCATTGTTGTTGGGTCTGGTGCTCCTCATTTTCCTTTTGAGAATACCCCAAAGATTCTCAATGGGGTTTAGGTCCGGAGAGTTGGCTGGCCAGTCAAACACTGTGGCATGGGCATCAAACCAGGTTTTGGTGCTTCTGGCAGCATGGGCAGAGACCAGGTCCTGCTGGAAGATGAAATTTGCATCTCCATACAGATCCTCAGCAGATGGAACCATGAAGTCCTCTAAAACATTTTGGTAGACTGTTGCAGTGACCTTGGATTTAAGAAAGCTGAGTTTGGCGCTTGGGCGTGTGTCGGCTCGGCCTGGTGTCTGCCTGGTGGGGCTCGGGTCCTCTGGCCCTGTCGGGCCTTGGCCTGGGTGGTGTGAGTCCTCGGTGCCCGGGCCTCGGTGCCCGGACCTGGACCTACATCGGTGCGGCGGGTTCCGACAGAGGCCTATGAGTTTGTCGCTGTTGGCCCCGGGGGGTCACTTTATGTGGTCGCTGGTGGGGATCTTCCGGTTCTCCCCTGTGGTCCGTTCTGGGGGGTGGGTGAGTGGTTCGTCCTGTGTGGGTGGCCCTGGGGGCTCCGCAGTCGGGGTCCCTCCTGGGGTCTTGGGCTCTGGTCCCCCCTTTTTCGTCTGCCTCTGGTCTTGGGGGTCGGGTCTCTGCTGCTTCACACTTACTATTAAATGTTCTATTAGAGAAGCCTTATACACTTATGCATGCTCACAACCACGCACAAATAGAAGCAGGGATGCTTATGTAGGCTTTATATGTAGATATGTAGATATATAGATATGTATATGAATGTATATTCATGTGTATGTATGTATATAGGCGTAGGTATGGGTATATATATTTATGGAAACTTACTGCAAAGCCATGAATATTTTAAGTTCTTTTTACATATGTATTTTGTTGCTGTGTTTTGTTATGTTTTTTGCAGGTGAACAGACAGTGGCCGGGTGTTTTGACGTGTGCTCTCTTTGTGTATATTTCTTATATTTTGGAGTCTTACTTTGTCTTTTCTTTCTTTCTATCCTATTAAAAAAATAAAAATGAATAAAAAAAAAAAAACTACACTAGATAGTCACTAGAATAAATATTTCATAATATTGGTGTGGAGAGGATGGCTGTAAGGGGAGAAGGGAGGCCATCAAGAAAAAAAAAAAAAAAAAGCTGAGTTTATAAACACCTGCACCGGACATTGCACCCCACATCATGACTGACTGTGGATGTTTCACACTGGACCTCATGCAGTACAGGCTCTGTTCCTCACCCTTCTTCCTCCAAACCCTTAGCCCTTGATTTCCGAATGAAAGACACACTTTACTTTCATCGGAAACTGATACGTTGGCTCAGGTTCAGAAGTGGCTTGACCCGAGGAACCCGACAGTTGTAGCCCATCTCTCGGATGCGTCGGAATGTGGTGGTTTTTGAAGCTTTGACTCCCGCCTCATTCCACTCTTTCTGGATCTCTGCCAGATTCTGGAATCATCTCTTTTGCTGTTGCATCTTCTCCTGCCACATTTTCCCCTTCCACTAGACTTTCCAATGATATGCTTGGACACAGCACTCTGTGAACAGCCAGCCTCCTTAGCTATGAACTTTTGTGGCTTACCCATCCTATGGAGGGTATCAATGATGGTCTTCTGGCCAGTTGTTATGTCTGCAGTCTTCCCCATATTCAACCGAACTGAGACAATTGAACCAAACTGAAGCAATTTAATGACACCTGGGGAAACCTGTGCAGGGGCTTTGAGTTTAGTAGATGATTAGTGTCACACTCAGTTTAAAACATTCATGCCATGCAAAATTTGGACTGATTTCTTCACAGTATTCTAATTTTTTTAATTCCTGTTTTCGTGGGTTTCATGAGCTGGAAGCTCAAATTATGTAAAAATAAACAAATAAATACTTTAAATCATTTAAATTTGGGCCCTGAATCTATCATCTATTAAATATTAACTTTTTGAATGGAATTGTGAAAGTTAAACAACTTTTCCATGATATTCTAACTTTTTGGAAAGGGTCTGTATATATACTGTATACAAGGCACTGTTTTTGTATGACTGTTCCAGTGTTGTCATTGTGTTAGAGTAAATGTCATGAATAAATTTGACATTAAACATAATCCAAGATGAAGTGTTGTATCATTTTCAGCCCCTTTTTTACATCTGCATTTGGTAGCAGACCAAATTGACAAAGACCATGCAGAATAAATAGTATTTTAATTCCACAGCAGAGAAAGCTATGTAGTCTCTGTAAGTAGGTCTAGGGATAAATATCAGTATTGGTATCGGTTATCGGCCAAATAAGTTTTAACATATTGGCATATCGGATATCGACCAAAAATCCAATATCGTGCATCCCTAGTAGAATTATAATTTTTTTTTTTTGGAAGATGAGTATTTTTTGGCATTAATATTGATATTGGCCTGCTTTCGCTGTAAAGAAAATGATTCATTTTCTAGTAACTTGTTTTATAATTGTGTATATTTTCCTGTATTTTACGATTTTGAAGGCTTTTTTTCCAACTAATTCCTCCAGGAACTTCCATCTCGCCTCCATCTTAATTCCTCTCATTTCACATTTTATGCATGTTGTGATTTCACCTGCTTTGGGGTTTGGTCAGATCCACCGTTCACTCTTTTTTTTAATAAATTTTTACTTATCAGCCTTTTTCAATATGTCCATCTTTTTTTTTTTCTTCTTTTTTTCTGTCTCTACTTTTGTTGTTTGCTTCTTAGGGGGTGCGAGCACAGTCACTGGACGTAGGAAGCTTCGAACCTGGGGTAAAGATCTGCTGACTTTACTAATCTTTGTCCCACTAACGGGGCCATTCTTTCTTCTTTTACTAAAATATGAAATGACACGAGGGAACTCTCACACACCTTTAAATATGTATAAATCAACATGGGTGCTTAAATGTTTGCATATTTTCGTCCTTTACTTGTCACATTTCCTTTAGAGGTGCACCAATCAGCCATAACATTATGACCACTTTCCAGGGAATGAACTAAATTTATTTCATTCTTAAATTTCTGGTTACATGTTAGCATTCCAACCTTTGTGCCATTTGTATTTTAGGCTGAAGTCTCTAAATTGTGTTTGCTTGGAAGAATAGTCACTAAACTGGTTTCTGGGGTGTTAACGTTTCAGTTTTTTTTCTTTGTTTCAGCCTTTTTTTTATAAAGTTTGCCCAAAGTTTTGTATTTTCCTGTTGAAGGAAGCTTGTTGCTGTTGAGAAGTGCTGTGTCCATGTGGGGGTGTTGTTGCTCGCTCGACATGCTTCTTTTATGGAACCTGTCAAAGTAGCATGCCTGTGAATTCTGGGAATCCAGGTTTTTCCAGCTGAGAATGGTTTTAAACATGCAGATTTAGTCACGACGGTGGTCATAATATTATGGCTCATTGGTGAATCTGTCTCCCCACTTAAAGGGTCACATATGTTTCATGATTGTCTCTCAAGAAAAAAAGAAAGAAAGAAGTTGTGCATTTGCTGCATGTACATGTGCGGCCAGTCGAAGCCATGGAGAGACAACTATAACCAGTTATTTAAAATGGTCTTCGGCCATTTTGAAATGCGGTTCTTTGAAAAAGTTACAAGGAATTAATATCTTGCCTGTTGTAGGTAGCCCTTTGAACAAGTCAATCTGGAGAAGCAGAGTTTAATTCGGAGCTGACTGACAAGCTAATGGCTAGTTGCAGCTAGGGCCAAAGTGAATTTCTGTCATCTTAAAAAAACTAAAGTTTCTGAAATTTCCTTGCGGTTCGGTCTTTGAACAGTGTGGCATCAGTTTCACACTGCAGGATTATTCACATAGAATTTAGCAGATATTTGCCGGTACAAATAGTTGCAACAGTGGAAAATAAGCTCAAATTCCCCAAACTGAAGTTGCTCAAAAAGCTATCTATAACAGGTAAGATATTAACCTCATAAACTTTTTACAGAACCTCACTTCAAAATGGTGGAACTGTCCTTTTAATGACTGTGTTTTAAAATGGGTTCATAGACAGAGTTCATAATTTAACCTGACCTAGTTCTCTTTTTTTCATCCCTTTACACTTCATCCATCCATCCATTATCTTTACCTGCTTTGTCCTTTTTGGGTCGCGGGGGTCACTGGTGCCCATATCCAGCAATCACTGTGCAAGAGGCGGGGGACACCCAGGACGGGTCTCCAATCCATCACAGGGACACATAGAGACAAACAACCATTCACTTGATATTTGTAATTCAGGAGGTAATAAATCTGTAGTGCCCTCTAGTGGAATCATCTGGTAACAGACATGTAAATACCTGAACAATCAGCTGTAGCCTGCATATAATAAGACCTCAGACATGAACCCTGAACGGGACCAATCTTTCCTTCCAGCTGGTTCCAGTACTGGAAGGACAGAATCGCATGAATGAATAAAAATCATCTTCTTCTTTCAGCTTTTCCCTCTTCAGGGTCTCCACAGCAAGTCATCCTCCTCCATCTCACTCCGTCTACCTCCATGTCTTCTCTAACTGCATCCATATATTTCCTCTTTGTCTTGTTCCTGGCAGCTGCATTTCTAACATCCTTCTACCAGTATACCCACTGTCCCTCCTCTGCACATGTCCAAACCATCTCAGTCTGGTCTCTCTAACTTTGTCTCCCAGTTGTTCAACCTGTGCTGTACCTCTGATGATCTCATTCCTAATCTGATCCATCCTTGTCACTCCTAAGGAGAACCTCAACATCTTCATTTCTGACACTTCCAGTTCCAGTTTGTTCATGAATGAACAAAAGTGAACACTTGAAAACTAGTATCAGAATTGTAGCTTTATTATTTGTTAACAATGTCCTGTTCGAACAGTGATGGCTGGATATGGGCACCAGTGACCCCTGTGACCCATAAAGGAAGAAGTGGGTAAAGATAATTCATGGATGGATGGATGGATGGATGTCCTGTTCATTTACATGGAGGGAGAGGGACATAAAACTTGTACTGGAAACAGCCTGTGGGGATGCTGGTCCTGCTTCAGCTTCCAAGTTCCTGTCGGATGTCTGGATTTTATTCACACCTAAAGTCCATTACAGCCTGATTCTGATATAAACACACGGGAAAAAGTAATTCCATATGAGCAATTCTTTACTTTTATAAAACTTGATGAGAGATTTCCTTGTTGGATGTATCTTCATGTTTTGTTTTTCTAAGGATCCCTGGAATCTTTTTTTTCTCCTCAAAGCACAGTTAACTGGTGGAATGGGATAATTCACGAGAGGACAGTGGGCCTCGAAGCCGTGAAGCTCGTTAGTTAACAGGGTCACACTGTGACTTAAAGCAGGCAGGGGGCGCCATTCCTCCACAACAAACAAAACTACAGTGCCTTTTTTTTTTTTTTGTCTTCATCGCTGTTCAGAGGTACAGACTCTCAGCTGTAGATTCCATCGATATCCCTGACAGCATTCCAGTTTCCAGAGACACCAGACACGGCCAGTGGCTGCGCAGGAGGCGACTGGATGGAGCGCTGAACCGAGTGCCGGTCGGCTTCTACCAGAAAGTGTGGAAGATCCTGCAGAAGGTCTGAGAAAGATGAGAGTTCTCAAGTTTTTGTAGTTTGTTGATGGTTTTGTCCAAACGTTGGAAGAAAAAACAGTCTAGACATATGTGTGAAACTCAAGGCCCAGGGGCCACACGTGGCCCTCGTTGACATCTTGTCTGGCCCCCAAGATGAAATGTGAAACGTAAAATACTTATGTCTCTTGAATTTTTTCAGTAATCTTTGATTATGATGTTGAAAGCACAACAGAGAACGTCAAATGAGACCAATCAAACTCTTTGTTGAGGAACCTGTGACCAAAAAAGACATGTTGAGTATCTGATTTGAGTTAATGTAGATTCTGAAATTGACCCTTAGTTTGAAAAAGGTTTTAATTGTGGCCCCGTTTTGTAAGTGAGTTTGACACCTCTGGTCTAGACCATTTTCAGAATTAAGAACTTTTTCTTTTCGTCTAGAGTTTCAATTTTTAAACTCGCAGAGTTCGTTTGTTTATTGCAGTGGTTCCCGACACTGGTCCTTGAGGAACACCATCCTGCATGTTTTAGTTATTTCCCTGTTCCAACACACCTGATTCAGTGATTTAATTGCTTCCTCATGTTCTGTAGAAGCCTGTTAATCACCCATTTATTGTACTTTCCTCCGTACATGTCTCCCCGCCATATAAGTCGTATCGTCTAAATACGTCTAATAAAATGGAAAAAAACATTTTAAAAAGTCGCCGTAAACGTTGCATCTATTATACGTCACCACTGACAACCCGGAAACGTGGGCCGGTGTTGTGTCAAAAGTCGACTGGCTGCCAAATGGCGGCCACGGGAGCGTGCACAGGAGGACTTTAACTAGAATTTAACAAGATTAACACTTAAGAACAATTATTTGTTTGCTTGACATTATAGTAAATGTGTGTCTCAGTTGAACCTTTCCTTAATAAATGCACTTTAATGGTCAAATCAGCTGCATTTCTCCTGGGCAACGTGGTGAAATGCAGCTGATTTGATGTTTGCTCGAGGAGTTCTGGAGCGAGACGAAGGTGACTTGGTATGGCAAGCCAAGTGTCTCATTAATAGCCACTTTTACCTATTAATGAGACACTTGGCTTGCTCTATTAGTCGAGTGCTCTCTAGTGGCTGAAAATGGTAGTGGTCAATAGTTTCCTTGTCAGAATGAATGAAATTGTTAGATCTCAGCCAAAAATTAGGTTATAAATATTGGAAAAAACGTAAATATGTCACTTCAATGTATAAGTCACAGGACTTTCAGATTTATGCAAAAAGGTGCGACTTATACAGCGAAAAATACGGTACTAAAATCAGGTGTGTCGGAGCAGAGAAAGCACTAAAACATGCAGGACGGTGTTCCTCAAGGACCAGTGTTGGGAACCTGTGATTTATTGATAAGAAACAATGTGTCAGAAACACCTGCAGCCTTTTCACCTTGTCGTTTTGTTGCAGTGCCACGGTTTGTCCATTGAGGGGTTTGTTCTTCCATCTTCAACCACCAGAGAGGTGAGGAATCCTCCGAATACACGCTGGTTTGCACACTTCCTGTGAAAAGAAAACAAGTTTGTCCCTTCCAAGTTTCCAGTACATTTAGCTGCTTTTACTTTAAATAACAGCCATAAAATGGCTGGGGGAGTGGTGGCGCAGAGGTTAGAGAGGTGGGCTTGTGATCCGAAGATCGCCGGTTCACGCCCCGGCCCCGACAACATCAAAATTGTGGGTGGGGTAGGTGAAACACCCACACTTGCCCCCACCCTCATTCGCCCCACTCTGGGCCCATGAGCAAGGCCCTTAACCCCCACCATGTGCTCCCTAAACAGGTCTCTCTTGAAAATGAGTTCTCGTGGCTCAATGAGACTAACCTGGATAAATAAAGGCTAAATGAAAAAAAAAAAAAAAAGTTTAAAAAGACAGAAATCAGATAAATATCTTTATTTCGACAACTGCTTCTCGCTAATGTTTCTACAATGATCGTTGCTGACAAAGAAAAAATAAATATGTCAATTATGATTTAGAGTTAAAGTAAAAAAATATTCTATTTTGATTCCTAAATTCCTCGTTTAATTTATTTTCTTTAAAATGTCTACCGTTCATCTGACTCAGAAATATTTTTGTCACGTTCAGTTTTTAGATGACAGAGAGGTTTGATAAGCCCGTTATCTAAGGGAGCGTATGAGAAGTTGTCTCAAGTCATGTGAGAAAATTGGACGAATCAGAAGAGAAACGGGGTCATGTTGTGAACAGTCTTAAGGACTTCCTGTTACAATCCCTCCAGAGGGTCGACATGTTACAATTAATAATGTAAATTTAATCAATCCCTGCAAATTCTGTTGAGTCTCACCCTTTCGACCAATCACTGCAACTTTTCTGTAAATTCTATTAAACCCCTTCCTCTCTGCCCATTTTCACTTCCTGGATACCACCAAGCCATCAGGATGAAAACATGGCCGATGCTACAAATAAGCACACTTACCCTTAAATATTACTGCTGAAATCTGTGCAAGTCGGTTTCTTCAAGTATTAAATGAAAGTGTTGGGAAACTGCTTGCACAAAAACACTTATCTATTACCCAAGACTGTAAGTTCAGGTTTTTCTAGATGGTCTTCTCTCAGTAGTGTGAACTGTACCATGTGCGTAAGCGTTTGCCGTGCTTTTGTTTCAATTCAATTCAGTTTTTTTGTAAGACGCCAAGTCACAACAGAAGTTGTCTCAGGCCACTGTACAAAAACATTCACATACATAGAAAAGCCAATTAGTAAAAGTTCTCTTTCTAAGCCAGCAGCAGATTGTGTTGACTCTTCAGTTCATCACAGTCTCCCATCCTGAGCAAGCACAATGGAGACAGTGGAAAGGAAAAACTCGTTTTAACAAGAAGAAACCTCCAGCAGAACCAGAGTCAGGACGAGCAGCCATCTGCTTCGACCGGCTGGGTTTGAGAGGACAGGAAGGAGAAACAAACACAGAGTGGCAGGTCCAGATGTACTTTCTATAGGAGGAAAGACAAAAAACATGTTATGGATAGAAATAGTTAAAAACACAAACAGGTAGAGCAGAGTAAGTGAAGACAGCAGCAGAGTGAGGGAATGTGGTCAGTTTGTTCTCCAGCAGTCTAAGCCCATAGCAGCATAACTAAGGGATAGCTCAGAAAACCCAAGCTGACCCTAACTATAGGATTTATCAAAAAGGAAAGTCTTAATCTCAGTCCAGTTAAAACTGGATAATGTGTCAGCTTCACAGACAGAAACTGGAAGTTGGTTCCACAAGAGAGGAGCCTGATAACTGAAAGATCTTCCTCCCATTCTGCTTTTGGAAACTCTAGGAACCACTAGTAAACCTGCAGTCTGAGAGCGAAGTGCTCTGTTAGGAAAATATGGAACAATAAGATCTGTAATATAAGATGGAGCTAGGTTGTTGAGAGCTTTGTAGGTTAGAAGTAAGATTTTGAATTCTATTCTGGATTTGACAGGGAGCCAATGGAGAGAAACTAAAACTGGAGAGATATGATCTCTCCCACTAACTCCAGTTAAGACTGGCAGCAGCATTTTGGATCAACTGAAGACGTTTTAAAGTATTTGGATGCCCAGATAATAAACCATTGCAATAGTCCAGTCTAGATGGACAAATGTATGAACCAGATCATCATTTTTAGATGTTTCTATTGTTTCAAAGAGTGTTTGTTTGTTTGTTTGTTTGTTTGATGCTCACAGACCCTTCCTGCAGCTAATTGATGTTTTCACTTGTTGGTTTGAGGAGAACATGATGAGAAGTGAAAAGCAGGCAGTGAAATTTTAAGGCTTAACTGGATTGTTATAATAAAAGTTATATTTTTAATGCGTAATTTTGTTGAGCAGGTTTGATTTATAAAAGGTTCGGTCAAGGCTGGGGGTTGCGAGTTCGGCCGTTTGATGTCTTTTTATACGCGTCTCATCCGTCAGATGAGTGAAATGATTCAGTCTTTTGTTTCAAATCCTCTTGTTCAAAACGCTGATGTTCCTTTTTGTTTACTACAAAACACTTGTCCTTCTTTCTTTTCCTCCCGCCTTCAGATGACCCCTGGGGAGATAAAGTTCTCCGTCCACGTGGAGACCGTGTTGAACCGAGTCCCTCAGCCTGAGTACAGGCAGCTGCTGGTGGAGGCCATCTTGGTCCTCACCATGCTGGCTGATGTGGACATCCCCAGCATCGGCTCCATCATCCACGTGGAGAAGATCGTCCACCAGGCCAACGACATGTTCTACAAGGACCAGGTCGGCACCCGCAGTTCCAAACAACTCTCATCAATGTTGCTTCCTACTAGGACCTCACACAGGTGTGTTCTCCTCCTCCTCTTCTCCTGCAGAAGGACCTGGGAGCAGACGAGCACATCTTGGAGAAGGACCCGTCCACCGGAGTGTGCAGGCTGCTGTACGACAGCGCCCCCAGTGGTCGCTTCGGGAGCATGACCTACCTCACCAAAGCCGTGGCGGTGTACGTGCAGGACTTCCTGCCCAGCGGGGCGTGTGCGGTGCAGTGAGCGGCCGCACGAGGCGACAAACACGCAACGCGTTTTATAACCAAGTAAAAATAAATGAAGAGAAAATGTTGAAGCTGCTTCACATGTTTACATGTGTCTGTGTAGAGTGTTGTGTTGTTGCCTCTTTAGACTCAACAACACTGACATGTTACCTTCACGTGTGTGTGTGTGTGTGTGTGTGTGTGTGTGTGTGTGTGTGTGTGTGTG